TATTATATATATATTACGTGTATATATACGTATATATATATTATATATATATATAATATATATTAATATATTATATTATTATATATATATTACACGTGTATTATATACGCTATTATTATATATATAGTATATACTACTATATATATATATTACTACTAATATTATATATATATTATATATATATGTATAGTATATCTATATATATATATATATATATCGTATACTTATAATATATATATATATTTATATATATATATATATATATATATATATATATATTATATATATATATATATATATATATATATATAATATATATATACGCTATATATATATACATATATATATATATTATTATACTATATATATATATATATATGTATATATTATTATATATATTTTATACTATATATGTACTAATTAATTATATACATATATTATGCGTTATATATATCGGCGTGTGCGTTATACATATAAGATATACGTATATATATTATAGTATATATATATATATATATATATATTATATATATATAATATTATGTGTGGTGTGATATCATATATTATCGTATATATGTATATATATATTATTATATAATATATATATTATATATATATATATATATATATTATACATATATATTATATATATATACATATATATATAGTATATATATATATATATATGTGTATGTATGTATGTTGTATGTGTGTGTGTGTGTGTGTGTGTGTGTGTGTGTGTGTGTTGTGTGTGTGTGTGTGTGTGTGTGCTGTTGCGTGTGTGCGTGTGTGCAGTGTGGTGTGTGTTTGTGCTGTGTGGTGTGTGTGTGTGTGTGTGTGTGTGTGTGTGTGTGTGTGTGTGTGTGCTGTGTGTGTGTATGGTATTTATATATGTAATATAAATATATATATTATATATATATATATATATATATATATAGTATAATCGTGTGTGTGTGTGTGTGTGTGTGTGTTGTGTGTGTGTGTGTGTGTGTGTGTGTGTGTATATATGTGAGTGTGTTATGTATATATATATATATATATATATATATATATATATATATATATATATATATATATATTATATATGTATATATATGTATATATTATATTTATATACACACAACACAGCACACACACACACACACACACACACACACACACACACACACACACACACACACACACACACACACACACACACACACACACACACACACACACACACATATATATATATATATATATATATATATATATATATATATATATATGTAATATAATATATATATATATATATATATATATATATATATATAATATATTATATATATATATACATATATGTGTATATATACATATATATCATACAGGCCGATAATAATAATAATAATAATAATAATAATAATAATAATAATAATAATAATAATAATAATAATAATAATAATAATAATAATAACAATAACAATAATACTAATATTAAATATGATATGATAATGATTATAAATAATAACAATATTGATAGTAATAATAATAACAATAATGATAACAACAAAAACTGCTAGCGAGATCAGATTTGGAATTGATAAATATGCCTAGTATTTTCACGAATATGCAGCAACGAGACGAGACAACAGAACCGCATAAGGCAGAGGAACTTGGTGCAGCCGAAAGACACCGCCTCCCCCCCTCCCCCTCCCTAAGGGCGTGATTTTACAAACTGCTATTAACAAAAGACCCTAGAGATGCCAGGTGTCGCTAGTTAAATATTCAAATGTTTGTAACCACACATACTAACACGCTGAAATTCTAGATGAAATGTGAATATTTTCTTTGAAATAAATAATTATGATGCACATAAACCATATAACGAAGAAAGTAAATGTCAGTAAGAAGAAACGATAAAATTATGATCGTTTACACTTTGTGGTCAAATGGGAGTCTCTTCAAAGACTTTACAGAGTATTTATTTCTATGTCAGACTGATACGATTAAAGTTTTTGTAGTGTAATTGAATTTGAAAAATCCCTTAGGTAAATCCAGTCTAATAAAGCTTTTAATAAAGTTTCTTATTAACCATCTTTTTCATTACCAATTTCAGAAATCCTTGGTTATATTGAAGCAATTTTGAAGTCAAGGACTGAACGGAGAGAGGCAAAAAGCCGTGTTTTTTACAGCATTTGCATTTTTATTATTATTATTATTATTATTATTATTATTATTATTATTATTATTATTATTATTATTATTATTATTGAGAACCATCATGAGGTAATTCTACTGCTCGATGTGTGAAAAAATCCGGTGTACTTAATTACCCAAACAGTCAGATATAGGGTTACTATCTTGCCTATGAGACATAATAGTATTTGCTTTTTCTAGGCACCGCATGACAACATGAGGGAGATGCATGGTTGAGCTGAGTCTACACTCCATGTGGACTTAAGTATTACGGTCCAATCTTAGCTATATGTCTCTGTGGAATACAACAGTCCTACACTTATTTTCAATTAAAGTCTACTCATATATCCATCATGCGAGTTCCTTCAAAAGATTACAAGTTCTAGGTGCAATGGGATGAATTGCAGATCTAACTTTGGAGACGTGACCACAGCACATAACCACGTGGTCGTGAATTTATCTTTTCGTTGTAAAAACTTTTATTTCTTCGTTTCCATGTTTTATAACTACAATATTCGAATAAGAACATCACTTTTCAGATTGATTTTATTTGATTATGAGGTATTTTCGTGGAAAAAACGTTTGAATATCTGGCTAGCGATACTTGGCATCTATATGCTCTTTTGAAATGTTGGTGGTAAAATCACACACAGCTGAAAACCAAGCTAAAATAATATTTAAAACCAGCTAACCAATATTTAAGACCACAGAAGCAAAGAATAAATAACGCATTTAAGAACAGCTGTAGTTCGCATAAAGGACAACGAAATTTCGGAAATTTGTCTGCTTTACAGATAACGCGTGATTTGTATTAAACGTGGGTGTTAAATAATGTGCTTCTTCAGCTGCAGTAACTTAAGGAAATAAATATTCATTGTGTGGGAGTGAAATACTGACAGCAGAAGGAGAAATACTCAAAAGACCTTTACTGCTTATTTTCCCAATCTTTTATATAAGATGACCTGAAAATGATACACAAGCAGGAAATCAGAATGTTGTGCGAATTAGGCGTTTTGAATTCGCAAAACACTAGTTCGAATCCTTAGTGGTAAATTCTTGCCTCGCTTTTTAATGTCGTCTTCTCTCTTTAAACATTGAAATAAAAGAAAGCCTTTTTTTGTATTTTCACTTTATATCATATGCTACAAAAAATGGTTTGGATTTGTTATTTTTCCACTTTTTGAAACTGAAAACACGAAAGTGGAGAAAATTCACTGGCTTGAGTTACCGCCTCTAATGGACGTTAAAAGAACACCTAATAAGTTTAGAATTTGAACCAATGCGATTACAGGCGTTCTAACCTTGTATACCAAATCGTGAACGTCAACCCCAAAAGTTTCAACACGAACCCTAGCGTATCCCTTTGCCGCCTGAAAATGGAATACTGGCCATTTCCGGCTTGCAAATGAAGATTCTTGCATTTTTATACGAATATGCTTTTGCCATATTGCTTTTTGTTGTGTTGTGTGTATTCATGGCATCAATTGGGAGGGAGTTCTGCCCCCAAGACTTTTTTTTGTTCCCTTCAAGGTCTGGCTTTGTTCCCTGTAAGCTGAAAAGTGGTACTAAAATAGCTCTTTTTTCCTTCTTTTTTTTTCGTTTCTCTCGCCTACCTACCACTCATGAAAAGATGAAATGACGATTCTGACTGTATTGTATTGTATCGTGTAAATTCAAATATTGTTTTGTAGAAAATTCTTCATTCAAATGTTCAAGGACTTATTTAAGAGTGACATAAGAAATGTACAGCCACGGCCAAGACTCTTGTCAAACTTATTTCGAATGCCGTTTCGAACATCCGCTTATTACCACACTTTTTGTATCTGGAGAGACAGATTCGAAGCTTCAATTCATGACACCACTTGCTCGTCACTGTACGTATAGAAATTTATACAGTCGTCGCATCCTGCCCATGGATCTCCTGATTGAATTTTATAATGAAGTCTATCAGTAGAAATCTGAAATGAGGAGAAATGTGGTTAACGTGTAGTTGTTTCAATATTCTTTAAAGAAGAGCTGTTTTGAATAGAACAAAAATTGGTTCACTGGAAACGGACATATTCAGAAAATCAAAATGTTGAGCTGCCTTTGCAAATACAAACTGAGGGTTATCATGGTTGTTGTTGTTATTTTTTTCTTGTACTACTATTATCATTGTTGTTGTTAGTTAATATTGTTACTGTTATAATGTTATTACTGTTGTTGTTTTGTATTATAATTATTATTGTTGTTGTCATCATCTTTGTATTCTATCATAGTTGCATTGTTATACTTGTATCATTGTTTTAATTGTTATTCCATTATCATTACTATTATTGACGTTATTTTTATCATTATTACTGTTGCCATTATTATTACACTTATCATTATCATCTTTACTATCATCTTTATTATTAACTTCGAACCTCTTCCTACTATGTCCAAAATACTTTTTTCATATAGATATGTTTATCTCTGTCAGATACGTCTGGCAGTGCTGTTCCCTGGAACTGTGAACAAATAGTTGTATATACAGTTAGAACAAAGGACAATAATGAATGAAAATAATTACCATTATCATAATAATTTATTATTATTTATATCATTATCCTCATTATCAGCATCACTATTATGAATTCTATCATCACAAATGTAACCCAAAGGAGATGAATAATAAAGTAGTAAAAAGAGTAAAAAGAGTGTTGAACAACGATGATAAGATAAATACATTAACGATAATGCTAACATTATGAACAAAAAAAAACTTATAATAACACTCCAAATGTTCAAATAGTTTAATTCTCTTAAATAATCTGAGAATGCGCTTCCCGCGATTCCTCTTTTCTTCGCTGTCTTCGCCGGCGACTCCCTTTCCTCTTCCTCATTCAGCCTCGGCGTCTGCGGGAGTAAGACACTAGCTGAGTCAACAGACGCTTATATAGCGCCTTGTAAGTTTATTTTATTTATTTGAAATTTCTTTGGTTATTTGAATGTGTGATGAAATAGTTATTTGGGTTAGGGAGGTACGGGAAATTATTTCTTTTCTTGAAATATGTTGCATGTCTTACTTTTTTATTCAGGAGTCATGCTGGTCCCACGTGGCGAGCATGGAGGGGTTTAGGAAATATTTATTGACTAGATTCCCTGACTTTAAACCATATCTAACCTACTTCAATCGCATTTACTCCCCCCACTAGGTATTCTAGAACCTGAATTTTACAAAGAATGTCAACTATAGCTTTTATTATTGTTGCACTTGTTACCGGTACAATTCCAGTATCTTGCAATTTATTACTTGTTAGTTTTATTAGTTTCTACTCGTACATGCTTTCGAAGTGTTCGATCCCAGAGTCTCATGCGAGATATCAAGGCTCGTATTGTGCTAAGTGGTATCGTAGAACAAACCAGACATTTTTGCAGGGTTGGGTGTTCTTTTTCACTTCAACCTTTTTAATGGGTGTCTACATTACCTTTTTAGGAAGGTATTAGAAGTCGACAATGGGGAGTATCAGGGTGATAACCAATTATTTCTTTTATTGCAGGTTTGGTGGAAGAGGTATTTGCATATTCACCATGAGTGGAAGACTTGCAAGTGGACCACGGAAGTGGAGTCCAATATGTGATGGAAGATTTTGCACAAGGTAAGGATCTTTTAAAGTCTGTTATTGATTGAAGCATTGTAGGTCTTTAGGTATTAGTCTTGTGCTGAAATTACTGGTTTTCAAAAAAATGGATTCCTTTGCCATTAGTTGGTGTGAAGTTTGATAGTATATGCTAATTTAAATAAAAATTAAGATCATCAAAGGGAGGCAGTGGTCCTATAGTTAATGTGCAAGCATCTTCATCGCCCTATGTGTACTTCTGCATGTTCCATACACATGAAGCAACATTGTTTATCTGCTAATTTCCCCCTAAATTGGTACCCTTAGATTTCTTAGCCATGTATCTTAAGAACTGAACTAGACTTGATACCACGAAAGGATAACTGCATCATGTCAATGCTCACTGTCCACAACACCCATATAGGGCCAGGGTTCTTAGTACTTTAAGATAACACAAATTGCTAACAAGGAGGCACAAGGTGGGGTGCTTGCCCTCATGTCTAAGAGGTTTGGAATATATAGGCTTTGGTCTTTGGTTTGCACGATACCCTGACTTTGAACTTGGTCTCTGAAGGGTTTTGCACTCGGTAATTACCACTGGTTGAAATAAAACCAGGTTGGTGTGGAGTGTTAGGGAAGGCAGAGATCGGAGGAATAGTGAAGCACGGGCAGGAATAATCTTGGTACATAGTTCTATAGTTACATGATCTGCTTGATAATGTTAATGCAGTAATTCTCATTACTGTGATGGTTTGGTCTTGGTGTAAAGTATCCCCAAATCGTATAAAATGAGAGCATCAGCATAACATTGATCTTGTAATAAATTGTTCATTGTTCCAATCATGACTTGGCATTAATTCTGAAGTTTTATTAACACAAGGGATGGTAATATGGTCTTTGATAAATATATGCACGTGGAATGAATCTTTAGTGAATGTAGTGTTAAATCTTCACAGACCAAGCCATTAAAATTTGAGGTCTGTCTCAAGCAAGGTGTAAACTTGTGTAGAATGCTCTTTTGTAAGTGTCCCTTTCCCACAGCCTTTGTTTGAGGATCTTACTAGTAAGTATTTTAAGATTGAACAATGGTATTCAAGTTTACTACAATTCTTTTTGAAAACCAGAATTTCATGATCGCACAAGTTTAAAATTTCAACGTGCAGGACCTAGTTTAATACTTTTACTATGATGACAAAACTTGGGACATCTTACGATTGCCAAGACAAAATGATAAAAACACAATCTGCGTACCACTGAAAATACCATGGCAACAGATGTAAAATTTATTACTTGAAGTGTTCCTTAGTGTTCTTGTATTTGCAGGAACAGTTGGCTTATTCGTGTACCTGAGGAAGTTGCAACCAGATCAGGAGGCTAGCATTTATAGCTATGGATCATGAGGTAAGTACAGTTTTGTTGCAAATATTCTCTACCCTTCAGTGATGACAAAACTTGGGACATCTTACGATTGCCAAGACAAAATGATAAAAACACAATCTGCGTACCACTGATATTTGTTTTATCCATTGCATTTAATAGTTTGTGTGGAGAGATTTCTAATTGCATAACTTTTTCAGGAATAAGCAAGACCAGTGCAACTTTAACCTGTACCTGAATAAGGTGTACATGTTCAGAGGCCAGTTCTTTACACAAGGTCAGTATAGTGTTATGGTAAACATAGCAAATTGTATCCTTTCAATGATGACAAAACTTGGGACATCTTACGATTGCCAAGACAAAATGATAAAAACACAATCTGCGTACTACTGAAATCTCTTGGAAGAATTAAAAAATGCTTACTTTAGAAAGTATTCTTATTGTGCTTTATACTTGCAGGGACCGAGTGCTTGTTCTCAACCAAGTTGCATGCAAGTCGGAAGACTAGTTTACATCACTATAGATCAGGCAAGTAAAATAATTGGTTTATATATTAATTATCCTTAAATGATGACAAAACTTGGGACATCTTACGATTGCCAAAGGCAAAATGATAAAAACACAATCTGCGTACCACTGAAATTGGCATTATAGATGGGGTTAAGATTTTTGTTAAATTGTTCCTAATTGCATTTATTTATCCTTAACAGATACCAGAATAAGGGATGCAGGTCAGCCAGATCTATTATACTTGACCTATTAAAGGTAGGTGGACAGCTGTATTGTTATACAAGTAATGTATCATGTTCAAATGATGACAAAACTTGGGACATCTTACGATTGTCATAGACAAAATGATAAAAACACAATCTGCGTACCACTGAAATAAGCTGTTTAGGTTTTACACACACATCTTTGCTTGTCAAATAGCTCCTCATTGCTATTATTTTACAGAAGTCTTGGAAGGAGGGAAAGGCCAGTCTGTTCTACGAAATTACATAAAGAATTAATAGGTAAATATTTTTAATTATGATATTCTATTAGAAAAGGAAGTTAATAATTCAGCTTTCCATTTTCAAGTCTTCCTACCCCCCCCCCAGAATGACCTAAATTTGGTTTTAGAAATGCTATACTTTAAATGAAATTTGGTTCTAAATTTGATAATTAGAATATTCATTTGAAAAGATTTTAAACTTTGTATGGCAGTTGCTGCTCTTTCAACTTACTGATGATAAAACTTGACCAGAATATCCTTGATGGTATCAAATGCTCAACAGGACTGATGTTAAATGTAGGAATAGTGTTCCAGACTATTTTGGAGGTTACTTTAATAAAGTGTTCTTTTCCAGGTCCTGCATTAGTGGCAAATTGAAAGGGACTACAGAAATGGTAATTCTTGGCACAAGCCTGTCAAAATTCAGTTTGGTTGAACATGATGATTGAAAGGGACCTCAAAATATAATGTGGATAAAGTGAATTCCTCGTTTCTGAAATTTTCATGGAAAAAAATAAGTATTATAATCTTTTATTGCATTGTAATGTAAGACCTTTCTTTCTTTTTCAGGCTTGTCAGAATTTAACGCACCTTTTCTCCATTAAAAGGTATATTCCCCCAAAATTAATTTCTTGCCTTGTGCTTTATATGATGATTGTTATCCCTGTCTCAACAACCATGTGGATATTTCATGTACTGATAAATGACCAGACAATGGATGGAAGCGAAATCTGAACTTGGTTTAAAAGTACATTATATCTTTGTAGGATTGTGGCGATATTTGATGCAGACTACTAAACGTGACCCCTTTTAAGGTAAGGAAGAAAGAGAAGGTGGATGGAATTATGAAAATGATGAATCTAAGTTACCTTCCTTAGATGTCTGAATAGTCTGAAGAACACTAACAATTCTGAAAGATGGATGAATAAGGAATACAATAATGTAACTCTGAACTTGTTAATAATTGGAAATATTTTTCAGATTGGTATCCAGTGGAACGCGTTAATAGCATGATACCCAGTTTGATTGCTTTAAATTATGCAGAGGTAAGCAGGAAAAAAGGGTGACTGGACTGGTTACTGTTAAAGGCTTTATCTAGATTTTAAAATTTACTTCAGCTTGTGGACTTGTTGGAAAATAAAACTGAACTGATGCATGTATACTAGTGTTTGGGTTTAAAATCTTTGATGTAATAAGGACTATTACTTGTTATCGTGTTGGAAATTTATTCATTACACTATGATGCCTATTTGAACAATCCTGTTCTGAAAGTAATGAAGAACACCTACCATCTGATGATTTTATAAGGGCAAAGAGGCACAATGCATTTTGCATGAATTTAACACCCTTTCTCTTACAGGAATTGGTCTGTCGTCGGATCTTGGATAGAACTTCATCCAGCATTCTGCACATGGGAGTTTCCTCCTTAACCACCTGGCTTCTAAATAAACCAAATAAACCTGGTTAAGGTTTTTATTTTTATCCACTTAAAACGTGTCTTGCAAACTTAGTGAAATTGACCCATAGTTAACAAATAGTAGTCGACATAACTCGGGTGGAAAGGTTTGTCATTCCCTCTTACCCTTTCCACTATCATACTAAGTCAACTTTTATTATCACTGAAAACCCTTTTGGGGCAGACTAATTTTACATGGTCTCTTCTCCATCCAGCTCTTTTTCCGTCCCTTTACATACCTATCTACTTAAAGTTTAGTGGTGCTGAAATGATGAAAAGCTGACTTTGTGTACCAGTCCTAAACGGGAGCCATGGCATATTCTGTTTTAGTTTAGCCATTACCCCTCAAGGGGCCTGATGGGTGGACTTTTTCCCAAACAGTCAGGGCTTCCCCTCGGTAACTAAGATTAATACCATAAGTCTTGCCCCTCATAAAATGCACCACCAATTCAAGCTCTCCAGGCTCCCGACACCAGGTTCTCCTTTGACCACTACTGACACAACTACTACCCATCCTCAATGCCTACTAGTGCATTATCCACTATAAAACCAACCAAATGGGGAAGTTTTTTCCCCCCCCCTCAACAGCTTGTCAACACTTCTTTCAAAACAGTCTCCAAAAGCAAGTGGGCAGTCCCTTCCATACCCGACCCGATCGTTCCCGTTTCGTTAGTTACATATGAAATCGAAGCTATATCTGACAACCCCATTCAACTCTCATCTCCCCAGTAAGTTGCCCTATGGATATTGATTGGTAAGATTGAGTACTTACTCGGCTGCCTCAGAGACCGTGGTGCTGTCAGGTCATCGAAAGAACCCCGCCAACATTGCTAAAATCAAAATTTAGTTTCCGTACACAAAACCTTCCCTTTCGTATTCTGGTAGACAATCCCTCCCTGTTCGACCATACCAACCACCTCCGTCAATGTCAAAACTGTTGGCACTTTGGACACCCTGCCAAACACTGCCGTTCCACAGACCGATGCCCACTGCCAAACCCGGTCATAACGATCAAACTGCTCTGCGCAAACCCGCTCATGTGCTAACTGTGGCTACCCTCATAATGTAGATGGGACAGCCTCTACAAAGTAAAAGTCCGAGTCTGAGGTAGCAACTCGGATACAAAAATTCTCGCTACGTGAAGCCAGACAGGAAACGTCTCTCTCATACTCCCTACTCTAGTAATGCCGCTCACTCTGCCCCTCCCCCTCCAACCCAGGTATTTCCTACACCCCCATCCACTTCCACTTCTACCTTCCCCGTTAAATTCTTTTGCCACTCTTAACTACAGCCCCAACACCGTCCCCTCTCCCTCCCGCATCAGACTAAACGTTCCATACCTTTCTTTGTTCCTCCGACACGTCTCCTCTTCCCCTTCTCATGAGAGAACCTTTGTCTCACAAGACTCTCCAACCAACTCCACTGGAGATATTATGGAAGATATTCAAGCTATATGCCCGAGACAAAATTCCACAAATGCTCCCGCCACATTCGAGTGACTGCCATTATCCATCTCCAACTCCTATTTCCACTATATCCCTCTAGGATACATACATGAATCCTTCATGTAGTTCCTTTACCTAGACACCATAGCCCATTCACACAAATCATTTACCCCTCTTTAACCTTTCAAGATTAATCTAGATGGTTGACGCATAGCAACAATCGCCCTTCACTACTACTAATATACCTTCCTATAGTGGTATGACCTTAAATGTCCAGCACATATTTTGCTTAACCATTTTTTTATCAGATGCAGTATGAAAATTTCTTACATATTGCAGTTCGATATCTTGAGTTCCATGAGTTCAAAGGAAAGTGCTTTTTATTAGTACTGAACCTTTTCAAAATTTACTTTAACCTTTAACCCCCACTCTTCCTATTCTTTTGCTTGTCGTGGGGAGGGGAGCCGGGACTGAGACGAGGCCATATGTAAGGCACCTCCCCTGCCTTGGACCTAATTTTGGATGGTGTTTACTTCTACCACTTTCCTTTCTCATCCCCTTCACTCCAGTTCATGTGGTGTGAGAGCCCTGGTGAGCGGCCTCCGTAGAAATGGGCACAGTATACCTTTGATCAATTTGTTACAATTTCAGGCTCACCATGGCCAGTAATGACTATATACCCTTATAGTCATTAAACACTCGTTTCTATATGAACTAGCCAATATAAATTTGAATTCATTGGTTTCCAGACCCCTGCCTCTTTGCCATGGCTCCGACCACTAAAATAATACCACCACCTGTTTCCAAACCACCCACCCAGATTACTCAACCTTCAGAGTGCACCTCTTCCCTTTCTCAATATTTTCCATCCTCAGTACCTCACTCCCGTCCTCGTCTTTCTACCACCACCACCACCACCTATGCAAACCCTTTGAGTACTTTGGCCCAGCCAAGTGGGATGGATTCCTTGAGCCCTGCCCTTTATTCAGATACCATTCTCTTCCAATGTCTCCAAAAATCAATACGCAAATTGCAAGACTAGCTCCCGTATATATGACCTTTATGAAATTTTGACTGGTGTTCTGCCCTGTCCGACCATATTGATCCCCTCCTCGTCACTGTCAACAATGTTTACTTTTTAGCCACTCAACCAGCCCGCTACCCTCCATGTGCCCAACCTAGTCATGACAGCTGAAGCTGCTCTGCTGTCACGTATGTCAATTGTGGTGGCTCCCATAATGCATTTTATAATAACTTCCCTGCCTACAAACTTGAACCTCCTATAGCATTCTCATTCATAATAGGCATCCCGTAAGAGCGAGAGGAGGAACGCCGATATTTTTCTCTATTCCAAAACTGTCCTTCACTCTGCTCCCCTCCTATCTTCTCAATGTCTTGGAGTAGAGGTAGGATGGTTCAGGATTGAGAGGAGATGCCCTCTCCCCCAGTCAAATCCCAATACTCCCATATCTAACACTTCCCCGATGCCCACCCTTCACTTTACCTGTCGCTCCAGGCAACTTAAAGGTTCCACATCTACACCCTCCTCTGTTCCTCAGAAATCTATCCCTTACCCTCACAAGAGAACCTCTTTGTTTATTAGACTTCTAACCTACTCTCCTGAAAACCTTGAAGCCATTCAACATACTCTATCCTCTCCACCTCCTGATCTTTAATCCGTTTTCGCCAGTACTTATTAGAAATCATCTACCTCATCTACATCTGTCATTAATGGCAAAGCTCCCCCAAGTAAGGAAATATACAGCTCTATGAAAAGTATATGGGCAAAAAGGTAAGGAGTTAGCATTTGGGACTGTTTGATGCTAAAGGTTAGAGCGCTGTAGGTTAGTATGGTAGTGAAAAGGGCAAGAGGGAATAGCAAACAGTACGAAAGCCATTCAGGACTAAAAGCCAGCCTTACATCCTTCCAGTACAACTCCTACACTTATACAAAAGGGGATGAAGAGAAGCAAAACGAAAGGGAGAAAATACGTAAAATTAGTTATGGCGAGGGCTAAGGTGGTCCCCACACTGGAACCTAGTCTCGTCTCCTATGCCCCCATCTACCAATAGGCATGGTAGGGGGGGGGGGGGGGGGTGCCACAATACTTTATGCTATAAAACCTTTAATGTCTAGCAAATTTGTTTCTACCATTAACCACTCAACTTTTATTTTGATTTTGTAGCTATAAAGATCAATCTTGATGAACTAAAAAATGTGGAATATTACTGTATTCTGCCTACAGCATTGGCACAATACAAGGTCACAAGATGAAACTACCAAAATGTTTACAAGTAACTACCTTGATATACTGGTGTATTTGCTGCTGGTAATTTTCATCTTCAATTCAAGTATACACAGACAGTTACTTCAAAATATTAATGTAGGAAAAAAATATGCCCGACTTTTGAACATCGCTATTATGGCAGACCATGATCCCTACATCTACCACATAATACAAAAGGACAATTTTCTCTTATCGCTAATCTACCAATTTTTAAATATTAATTTGCTTAAGTGGTGAGTGACCAATTTTTTGCTGGTGAATAAATTTTTAAAGTGCATTTTTCTTTTCCCTTACATTAAATTCTCAACTAAGTGCCTTTGTCATGTAAAAATTTTCAGTTATGTTCTTGCAGTCTAGACAGACTTTGGAATTACAAATCTTATTTGCACAGTGCAAAATTTCAGGAAATACAAAAGAGGCTTATAATAAAAATTTATCATCCAAAGTTTACAAATACAGTTTATAAATACATTTCTTTAGACAATCACACTAACATTATAACGTGTCACTGCAACCTGTAGAATACACTACAAAAATTCCAATTACTTCATCCTGTCTTTTTTAAGTACATTTCGTGATCCTTCCTGTCGAACCATTCTTTTCTTGTCGGGATCAGCAAGGTTTCCAGTATCTGTCACAGGAGGAAGAGAAATTTAGTACAACACAAAACTACAAATTGCATCATCTTTATATACGAGTTTCAGACTATTATACCATTTTGATTCCACAACAAAGTTTATCTTGTTTTGTATGTTATAATCCTTAACTAAAAATTTTAATCTACCATCAGTATCAAAATTCAATCTACAATCAACCCATTAACTATTGAAAATTAAGTATTTTTCTAGTGTTGCATATCTTACACAAACAAAAGCATTTAAATCTACTTGCCTTTGAAGTTCTGAAGTAAAGTATCAATTCCAACTCATTGCTTCCTTACTGCAATAGGAGGGGAGGAGGGGTTTAGTATCGACAGAATCTTATTGTTATTTCAAGTCTTTGAAACTTTTTCAGACGTAAAGGATTATCACACTGTCTCGGATCCACAACAGTGGGTTCAACCATTTCTGGCTCTGCTGTGTAGCGACCCTCAACTTCAAGTGCTTTAACTATCATCACAAACTCGATTCTATAGAACAAGCCATCACATCCTATTAGAATGAACATAATTGGCACATGTATATTGCTGAAATGTCTTCCAAGATATCAAAGTATATCCTTTCAGATCATGGCTTTGCTCCATTCTGTGCAGTTTTAGGATCAATAAAGGCCAATCAAACTGCCAGGCAGCCTTCTTTAATCAGAAATGAGCACAACTTTCACCTTCACATTCCAACTATTCCATACTATTATCCAAAATATTCACCAATGCAATCTTTATCAATCGTCTTTGCTACTTGACCATTTAGATAAATACATGAAATGGTTAAATGTACATTAACTTTGTTCCTTTACATTTTATTGAAGTTTAAGATAATCTATTCCTAATTTCATATAATACTTCCTTAAAAATTTAATTTTCAACACAAAGACTTTACATACATTCTTAAACCATGAATATAAAAAGATACTTAAAATGCAAGTTACACACATTATATTCAAACAAAACTCACCTTATAACAATAAAAATGCAGGATGAAAGACTGAAAAACTGTGCCTCAGCATTAACAAGTTTGTTTCCTCTTCCACCTGTAAAAGACCACATCAACTGAAACAATATTCTTAAACAACTGTCCTAAATATACAGAACACTTTCAGAAAGACCAATGCCATCGTCATTAATTTTACGCTAGGGGCGAAATTTGTCATCACTTCATATAAACAAGTCTTGCTAAAAGTAGTGACAAATATACTTACACCAATTTATCTCTGCTCGGCAACTTGGGATCATGTTCTGGTTCCTTCCACTTTCCAGGATGGTCCAAAGTCTGCAATTTCACTGAAATTGAAGTTTGTAAATTAGTAGTATCCACATTGACAATTTGCCTTTTTCTTCCCCTTTTAAGAATTCAGAATAAAAATGACATCAGATGTTCAGATATATGCTTGTCAATTTATCAATCATCATGCTAAGATTCAAATAGTACACCAATTCTTAAAAAAAAAAAAAAAAAAAAATTGAAGCTAATTTTGACATTTTTATAAATCCTTTTAAATTCTGTAAAATGATATGGAACCACCCAGACAATCCCACTTGAAAGAGCAGGATGAACAGGTAAATTTTACAGTCCCATTAAATACTAAGGATGTAGGTGCAAATTTATCAGGTAATCCTTACCTGCAGCAAATTGCTTCAAGGAAGTAATGTGCCAGTACCACTGGAATCCTGGAACCCTGAAACAAGATACCTAATTAAAATCGAGTTTCATATTCTGCCATAAAAAAATCAAAAATGCACTTTTCAGATTTAAACGTGTCTTCAATCTATTTCAGACATCTAAGGAAGGAATTTGGTTCATCATTTCATGTAAATTATTAGGAAAATGTGCAATCATCTTCACACCATAATACTAGCCAATACACTATTCAATGTTAAGTTACTGTCCATCATCCAGAACTTATTTTGCCAAGTCAAATGTGGAAAGATCCTTAAAGAGACTATTTGCCCACAAGTAGTTTGGCATAGCAGTTAAAAGTACCGCATGCCTTTCCAAGACAGAATAATGCAAATAAATATATCAAGTACCACAATGTGAATAATTACGAGTATTATACTAAAATGCATGCTGTTAATTTTCACTGCAGACTGAAAAAATGAACAAGGCTTTCATGGAGAACTTTTATTAAGTATGGCCATTAGAAAGGAGGACTTCACTCCTGTATAGAGATCCCTTCAATCCAGCAACCAAATCAAATATGTAACTTTAGACTGTCGATGTGAGGGGTAAGCTTAGAAGCCCAGACTGATTTTAGTTGTATCTGTTTATACATGCAATATATGGCAAGTACATCACCAGGGAGTCAATTACTAGGTCTATCTGACTGCCTGTTTACCCTATTTCTTGAATTTGAGATAAAATTGTCTTAATATATGTCAACAATAACAGTAGTAATTGAATTAAAAAAACTGAGGGAACTGGTGTAAACAGAACTCAGATATGCCTAGTAATGGACTCTGGTGACCAGGCACTGGATACCATACATGTGAACAAAAATGATGTCTAGTATACTCTTTGAACGTCAAATTCGTGTATTTATATTCTATTATGACAGACTATACAATTCATGCAAAGAGGCAATTACTGAGGTGTTGGGCCACACCTCACTACTGGCTTGTGGTCAATAAAAACTAAATAAAGGTAAAGAAAGGTACAATTTTTTGACATAATGCAAGTTATGTTAAATATTTTAGTCCAATGCTTACCTGTATTTTCCAATCCTGACATGGTGGCAATAATTTACAACTTCCCAGAGACCTGATGGGGAGGGAAAGGAGGAATGATATTACTTGTGAAATAAGTCCTTAAAGTAAATATTATATTACATACCTCAGACCTGTTGAGCAATATTGATCCATCACAGATTTTCTAGTCAAAATTAGTCATCATTCCATTTTCAAATAACAAGCAGCATTTAATTTCACTTACCATAAAATGCCTCTGCTCAATTGACTTGAAGCCTGATAACTGAAAGAGGGAGAACTACATTAGAACTTGAAAATAATATTGAATATTTTAAGTCTTTGAAATAAGTATCAGACGAAGGTGTATCACACTGTCTTGGATCCACAACAGTGGGTTCAACCATTTCTGGCTCTGCTGTGTAGTGACCCTCAACTTCAATATACAAGCTATCATCACATGACATTATCATAACCATTCCAATGCTTAAGAGAAGGGGATTGTCCTTATTACAAATAAAATTTCCAAGGATCATAAAACATTTTCAATTTACAATTAACCCAGAAACAGTAACATACATATAAACAGTAACAGCTGCTTGCATCATAAGATATGAAGGCCATTTATAAACTTGGCAGCTTACATTTCAGTCACATATATATTTAAATGTCACTGGTCATTTCTGGCAACTTCACTATAATATGCCTGAAACAATATGGTTTTCCTTTACATTCCAGCAATATTTCATTTTAGATGAAAAAAAAATCAACTATTTATGTCAATTGTGCACCACAGGTATGATCCCAGGAACCCTACTGCACAGTTTTGAGGTTAATATACAATAATGGTACATTCCTATTCACATTGAAAAGTGTCATTTCCAACAAACACAACATTATGGTAAATATGCAACTAAGCATAAAGTACAATTCAGATACTCCAAACTATTATATTAGCAAGAAAACTTCCCCATAGATTTTCTTTAAAATAATGCTCACCTTTTACACAACATGAAAGCAGGATCACCATCTGAAAACTTCCCTAGGTGTAAACAGGAGAGGTTTTGCCATATCTAACCTGTGAAAGACCACATCAACTGAGACAAGTAGATAAATATCTATATTCTATTTAGACAATACTTCAATACTTTCAGAAAGACCAATGCCATCGGCATGAATTCTACGCTAGGGGCGAAAATTTGTCATCATTTAATAAAACTAAAATAAAGCGTTACATAAAGATGGTCCAAATAAACGTACCTAAATCAGTGAAACTGGGTCCCTTTGGTAAGAAGATGCTCTCAATGGCCATCTATCATTCTGGATGCTAGCAATAGCTTGGCAGTTTCACTGAAAGAAAATCTTTATTAGTTATACACCAAACTTTATATTTCATATCTTTAAATTAATGTTTATCAGAATAAAATAGACATCAGTGTATCAGCTATATGCTTGTCATGTTGTCATCACATTTTATGCAATTTTCTGTTAATATATTTAACATTTCAGGCCCATTGCCCCTTATTTTTATCCATTCAAGATAAAAATCACTAAAATCTAAATTCTAATGTACTGCTGACATAAGCAGTACATGAGAGTGAGGAACGTGATAATTTTAAAAATCTTTAAAATGCCAAGGGATACAAGTGATAAAAATCAGAGGGAAAATGCCAACAGAAGAAGGAATAGTGGCAGTATGGGCAAGGGAGAAAAATGGCCTTGTACATGTAATAAAGTAACTACTTCATAGATTCAGATAAAAGGGGACTCCTTACTTGCATCATCAAAGTTTCATTTCCAAGTTCCAGTTCCCTCATATCCATCACAGCTGAAGTCCTGAAAACCTGAAGCACAAAATTTCCAGTTACTATTACTATTCATACCATTAAATTTTTTGATAATCAAAAATATTCAGATATAATGGTGTTCTTCAATCTATTTCAGACATCTAAGGAAGGAATTTGGTTCATCATTCCAACTTAGTAATGTCAAACTTGGCAATCCTCCTCACCTCAAAATGAAACCAGTCCCATAGCTATTCGCTGGGAAAAGTTACTGTACATCAACCATACTTATTTGGCCAGACCTGAAATTTGAAAAGCATAATTAAAAGAAAATTGCATTTGCATTCCCGAGAGCCTCAGTCAGTCAGTTAAACAAGTTTCCACATAGCTTATTGAGACAGGGATAACAATCATCATGTGAGGCATATCAATATATATTGAACAGGTTTCATACCTACCTATCTTGTCAAGAAACGGTCTGCAGCTCATGTCTTGTAGCATTCAGTTGAAGGAAATCTCGAGCCCAAAGAAATTTGTGATATTTGATTGAAATCACAAGGAAATTAACCTTTAGAAAGCTAAATTCCTCATTTTTTCATTCTTCATCCCACGGTGATATACACAACTTCTTAACCTGATGGGAAGGGGGCAAGGGTTTGGTATTAAGGTTCAGTAAAGAAATCAAAGTGCATATGCAGTTTACATTACCTCAGCCCTGTTGAGCAATATTGAACCATCACAGATTTTCAAGTCAAATTTGTCATCATTCCATTTGCACAAAGCCAAACATCATTTGATTTTACTTACCATAATATGCCTCTGCTCAACAAAGTCAAGACTGACAACTGAAAGAGAACGAACTACATTAAAATTGAAAAATAAGCACTATATTTCACTCTCCTCAAATCTTATTCAGACGTAAAGGATTATCACATTGTCTTGGATCCACAACAGTGGGTTCAACCATTTCTGGCTCTGCTGTGTAGCGACCCTTAACTTCGATATTAAATGTATCATCACAATATATCTTGATTATCTTTAACTTAATAAAACTTAAAAAGTGATCAGCAAAAGGTTTTTACTGTCATATGATTTTCCTATCTAATGGACAATAAAGGGGATTTTAATAATCTTTAGCTTACTTTGCATACATTACAATGATGACCACTAAAGATTTGAGAACTTGAAATTATACTTATACTTAGTGAAAAATTCTTCAGTATTTTCTCCCCCTACTGGCAAAACATCAAACCTCAAATTCATTACATTATGAACTTCTGAATTACCATATGGTCAAAACTGCAACCTCGTTTGAAGACTTCTGCAATGGTTTTTGTGGCAAGTAAAATCCAGCATCAACAGCAGTCAGTCCAACACCTTCCAATTCTATCCACACTATGGCTGTATGCATGCGGCTACCTTGGTTTGGAAGCACCAAAGGAACCATGAATATGTCCATCTTCTCTTCTGTAGAACTCCATACTGGAGCTTCTTACAAACATAATCTGTAAAAGAACATTTTCTATGTCTCAAATCCTTTATACCCTAAAAATAGTTCTGTCAACATGGTCAAACAAACAAGCAAGTTCAAAGTTCTAATAGCTGTACATCTACATTAATTGACCGTCGATTTCCAATACGAACACTCCTACAGGATCCACCACCTATTTTAAAACATGCTATATAGCACCCAAAGTATCTTGGTCAAGCATACAAATTAAAGACTCAAATATGTTAATTTAACATAGCAATGCACAGATTGAGGGAGATGGACACCATTTTGCACAGCAGGTACACGTGCCTCATATTTACTGCTGCCTCATTCACTGCGAAATGACAGATCTGCATATCCCCAACAGCTTTATATAGCCAGATATATTGCGATTGTGTTTTCTTTAAGTTGGCACGAAGGGAAAATAATGCAAGCTCCCCCTGTCTAGGGAATGGTTAATGATAAGGAGAGCAATGCACAGATATGAGGAAAAAGGACACCATCATACAGAGCACAAGTCATTAACACAAGTATAGCTACTGCAACCTC